TCAGCCAGTCCACAGGAAAGCATTCTCAATGCTTTCCTATGGATGCTGGCGTCTTCTCACTGTGAAAATCACAGTGAGAAGCGCAGAAGCGCCTCTAGCGGCTGTCAGTGAGACAGCCACTAGAGGCTGGATTAACCCATAGGTAAACATAGCAGTTTCTCTGAAACTATGTTTACAGCAAAAAGAGTTAAACCTAGCTGGACCTGGCACCCAGACCACTTCATTCAGCTGCAGTGGTCTGGGTGCCTATAGTGGTCCTTTAATTGAGCACAGGAAGTGGAAACCCTCCATTTTACGGCCAGAGCGCCGGGAACTCTCAACCACCGCAGCTTAATAACCTTCTGGGACCGCCAACGGGTAGGACAGTGAGCACCTGGTGTAGCTGAGGACATTGTTCCCCTATTGATTCACTTTCTCTTGTCACTTTGTTGTGAACTGGATCAATTTCAGTGCCACTGTTTAGAGCAGAGTGAGTTTTTTTCATTTGCAAAACTCTGTATTATTAACTATTGAGCCATATTAGACTTGTTTTATTTGTATTGCCCACACTATCATTTGTCTCTCCCTGGATATTTGCTCCTGGCACTATGCATGATTTTTATCCTGTGACTGTATTATTTTTTTGTTTTGAGAGGTTTTTGGTGGCCTTTTTATAACAGTATTTAGAGCAATATTTACTAGATAATTCCCATAGTTTACATTTGTCACCTGGGCACATTAATTTTTTCTTCTTCCGATGCAAGGATTTTTGCCGCCCCCCCCCCCTCCCATGTGACATCACAATGCCCCACCCATATGATCTGCTATATGAAATAACGTCAGTGCTGCACACAGTGTGTGTTTACATTAAAATGCCTGCAGGAACAGGCTATAGACATCAGAACCACTTCATTAAGCTACAGTGGTTCTGGGCAGTGGTGTACATACTGGGGTCGCAGCTGCGACCGGACCCGGGCCACCACCCCTGCAACCCCTCCCCTGCGACCAGGTGCCCGCCCCCATGTGTTGCAGCCCCAGCCCGCACAGAGTAAGCGCGCGGGGGGAAAACACGGATCAGTTTTCGCACCGGGGCCCCATGGGTTGTGTGTATGCCACTGGTTCTGGGGACTATAGTGTCCCTTTAATGTGAGGTAAATTAGAGATTAGTGTCACTAATAATATACTAGATTGCCTACTTACAACCAGGTGAGGATGGTGATGGGCTCTGGCTGCAGTTTGGCTCCCCTGTTTGTTCCCCTCATCTCCCCCCCCACCCCCATTTGTTCTCCTCATCTCCCCCTCCCCCTCTGTTTGTTCTCCTCATCTCCCTCCCCTATTTGTTCTCCTCATCTCCCCTCTCCCCTGTTTGTTCTCCTCATCTCCCCCTCTCCCCTGTTTGTTCTCTCATCCTCTCCCTCTCATCTCCCTCCCCCTGTTTGTTCTCCTCATCTCCCCCCCCTTGTTTGTTCACCTCATCTCTCCCCTCCCCCTGTTTGTTCTCCTCATCTCCCCCCTTCCTCTTTTTGTTCCCCTGCCAGCTTGTTCTCCTCACCTCCTATACGGTCCGCGGTACAGGATTTTCTGAGTGTGCACTTCCTATCAGTCCGGCCGGGTACAGGAAACGGATGTACCTGTACCGTGGACCGGAGAGGAGCTCGGCCACGCTACACAGGGGGAGGGGAGGTGAGAGAGGCAGTGTTGCAGCCGCCTGAGGCTCTCTATAGAGCGTTCAGGCGGCTGCAGCATTAAAAGGGGCGGCGATAGGGGGCTGCCTAGCTCGCCTTATAGGAAGCGCCGGCCCTGGTGGTAAGTTTTAAAAACTCTGTTATATTGGTTAATAATCACTATGCAAGGATGAGAGGCTAGCTGTTACAAAACTCCACATTTCTTGGTCCCTGTTATTTTTCCCTGCGTTCACTAGACTAATATACCAAACACCGACCACCCCCCTGGCTCCTATAACTTCAAAGAAACCACAAACTTAAGTGCTCTCTCGTCTCCCGAAAGCAGGCAGCCTGAAACCCCAAAATGTATGTGAATGGGGGAGTCGGACTGATGTGGAGCACTAACCGGAAGTGACGCAAAAATGGCTGTTACATTCAGTGTGCACAGCCACTTCTGAGTATCTAGTACTGCACGAACAAAGGACCCCAGCCGGCACGAGGACTGGATAAGTAACGCAATCCTTTAACATCAAAGTCTTCTCTCCAGCGCTGTTTGGCTCTGCCCAGTTCTTCTTCTTCTCTGAGATGCTACAAACAAAAAGACTCAGACTGCCATGTACTGATTGTTTGAGAGTCAGCTGATGCTCCATGCCAATCATTACCTCCCCATTCATAAAAATGTCTTGAAATTTTTATTAAAAAAACTTGGTCTGGCATTCATGTGGATGTTACTTTGACACGTACCACCTACCTAGAGATTGTTATAGACCCTGTACACCACTTCATGGCAGTGGCCTCTCTCAGCAGGATAATGCAACCTGCCACACTGCAAACATTGTTCAGGAATAGTTTAAAGAACATGACAAAAAGTTCAAGGCGTTATCTTCGCTTCTAAATGCCCCAGATCTCTCTCCAGTTGACCAGCCGTGGAATGTGCTGGAACAACAAATCCAATCCATGGAGGCCTCGCCTCACATGCATTGACATTAGAGCTTTACAATATATTAGGTATCATTTTTACCAAACAGAAAATAAAAACATGGACAAAATAAGACAAAAGTGGGCATTATATGGAAGCAGGAAACTGTATCCCTGGGTCAAATTATTACCTTCTCAGGTTCCCTTTTTGGCAAGGTTGGACCCCTCAAGATGTAGCAATTAGAGTGAACGGAGTGGTTCCCACTTCACTGGAACAGGCCAGGGCCGCACCACTGGATGGGGGAGGTTAATTAAAGGGACACTATAGTCACCAGAACAACCTCAGCTTAATGCAGTTAGTCTGGTGAGTATAATCATTATATACAGGCATTTTCATGCAAACACTGCTTTTTCAGAGAAAGGGCAGTGTTTACATTGCCCCTAGGGATACCTCCAAGTGGCCACTCCTCAGATGGCCACTGGAGGTGCTCCTGGCTCAGTGCTGCACAGTAGGCAGCAGTGCCATTCAGCATCCCCACGCCCTGCATGGGGACAGAGTTTTCCTCATAGTTATGCATGGTTTAAAAAAAACCGGTGTTTGGCCCCACCCCATTGCCAGTTTTAGCCAATACAATGCTTTCCCCATGGGAAAGCATTGAATTGGCTAAAAATCGCAAATTCTGATGATGTCTCCAAGGGGGCGGGGCCAGTGCCGGCAGACTGGCATGACGCTGGAAATATGGTGAGTTTTTCATGCATTTAAGAGGGGTAATGGTGGGTTTTGCACTACAGAGTCAGGAATACATGTTTGTGTTCCTGACCCACTAGTGTTCCTTTAAGGTACAGGGCTTGGAGAAATATTTCTGTCCCCTCCACTTCACTGCCTTGCCTGGTGTATATATAAGCAATTAACATGGCAGGCATACAGTGTTGCTTCTCATGGCCACTTCCCCACATTGCAATCAGATACAGTGAATAGGTTGCACTAGTTTGGCATTACCAGGGCTGCATCAGCGTAATTCATAATCACAACTGTGCGAAACAATAACCATTTCATATAACAACCAAAATAAGTCAAGAAAATGAAAGAACAAAAGTGACCACAGTGGCTGAATACACATGAACCACTCAATGCCCCGTGCTTGTGAAGAGCCAGCCTTCAACACTGCAGAGAGAGATCGAGAATAACAGTGACCCAAAGTTAGTTATGCCCAACTGCATACCCTCTTGCAGTCTGCCTAATCCCCATTCCTCCATTCCCACCAAGTGAGCCCAGTCCTTTTCAAAAGACTTGGTAGCATTTTGTAACATGGCCATTAGTTTATCCATGAGATTGTTCTCTTAAATTCTATGTGTGACTTCTGACATGCTAGGAGTTTTGCAGCATAGGATTGCCTAGTGGCTAATGTTATTTTATTAAACAATTTTGGGTCCTCGCAAGTAAACCATCAACGGGCCTAGCAAGTAGAAAAACCCAGGGGCCTAGTTCAAATGGTTTGTTAAATATCTTCGCTAGTAAGACACTGACACTCTGCCAGAATGGTTTCAGTTTTGTACAGTCCCACCACATGTGGAGGTAGGTGCCTTTTTCACCACAAAATTGCCAACATAGGGCATTAATGTTTTCTGCATAGCTTAGTTGGGGTAGTATACCATCTCATTACCATCTTAACTGCTTGTTCCTGCATGCCTGTGCATACAGAGACTTTACCGATGGCCTCCCAAATGTATTCACAAACAGCTCCCTCCTGCCCATTGCCCAGCTCTTTCTCCCACTACTTCACATAAGCAAACTCTCCCCAGTCAGTCGACCCTGAATTGATAGCGTTATCGATTAGCGATTGGCATTGGGTAAGTTAAGTCCTCCCTCAAACTTTGATTGGAAAAGTTTAGTGAGACTGAGCAACGCTCACGTCCACAGGAAATGTTTTTATTGAGGAGGCATTTATCAGTTTTGGTAAGAAGGACTAGGAGAACATGGTTGGGGGTTGAACTATTTCAGGAAGCTGATAAGTTTTTATAAATTAGCCCTACCAGGAGGTATTTCCAGTGGTGGAAAGTAGTGGCGAAAATGGAATTAAGTATAGGTGGCAGATTAATATCATAAAACCAGGCCAAGGTTTTTTTTGTTTGTTTGTTTAAATGCATTAAACATTAAGTATTCTCTTTAATATTTTTATTAGTGATATTGCAGAAGGTCTTGATGGTAAGGTATGTCTTTTTGCTGATGACACTACGATATGTAACAGGGTTGATGTCCCAGGAGGGATAAGCCAAATGGCAAATGATTTAGGTAAACTTGAAAAATGGTCAGAGTTGTGGCAACTGACATTTAATGTGGATAAGTGCGAGATAATGCATCTTGGACGTAAAAACCCAAGGGCAGAGTACAGAATATTTGATAGAGTCCTAACATCTGAGGAAAGGGATTTAGGAATAATTATTTCAGATGACTTAAAGGTAGGCAGACAATATAATAGAGCAGCAGGAAATGCTAGCAGAATGCTTGGTTGTATAGGGAAAGGTATTAGCAGTAGAAAGAGAGAAGTGCTCATGCCATTGTACAGGACACTGGTGAGACCTCACTTGGAGTATTGTACGCAGTACTGGAGACCGTATCTTCAGAAGGATATTGATACTTTAGAAAGAGTTCAGAGAAGGGCTACTAAACTGGTTCATAGATTGCAGGATAAAACTTACAAGGAAAGGTTAAAGGACCACTATAGTGCCAGGAAAACCATACTCGTTTTCCTGGCATTATAGTGCTCTGAGGGTGCCCCTACACTCAGGGACCCCCTCCCGCCAGGGCTGGATGGCGAGGAAAGGGGTTAAACTTACATTTATTCCAGCGTCGGCCGGGGAGCTCTCTGAAACTGCTATGTTTATAAAAAAAAAAGGGGGTTAATCCTAGAGGGACCTGGCACCTAGACCACTTCATTAAGCTGAAGTGGTCTGGGTGCCTAGAGTGGTCATTTAAAGGATCTTAACGTATAGCTTGGAGGAAAGGCGAGACAGGGGGGATATGACAAACATTTAAATAGATAAAGGGAATCAACACAGTAAAGGAGGAGACCATATTTAAAAGAAGAAAAACTACCACAACAAGAGGACATAGTCTTAAATTAGAGGGACAAAGGTTTAAAAATAATATCAGGAAGTATTACTTTACTGAGAGGATAGTGGATGCATGGAATAGCCTTCCAGCTGAAGTGGTAGTGGTTTACACAGTAAAGGAGTTTAAGAATGAAGGGATAGGCATAAGGCTATCCTAGCTGTAAGATAAGGCTAGGGACTAATGAAAGTATTTTAGAAAATTGGGCAGACTAGATGGGCCAAATGGTTCTTATCTGTCGTCACATTCTATATTTCTATAAGTAATTTTACATCTGTTTTCAGTAAATTCTGAACGTACTACTCTGCCCAGCCTACATATATCAAGAAAAACCTTAAGATATACGTCAGATAAATATTAGAGATATTTCTGTGGTGTTCCGGATGTACGACACCAAAATAAAAAACAATTTTAAGCAGTATACACCAGAAAAAAAAAATCATATAGTTCTTGTTACATGGAAGTCATACAAAAAGAAAAACTTTATTTTGGAATACTACAGAACATTTGAGAACCGAATACCTTATTTATTGATGTTTTTGCACCCCAACTCTTACTTAAAGTACTATTTCTGCAAAGGGCAATACTATTTATAAATTACAGCACATGTCCCCTGAATGAAGCTTTCTATCAGATATTTTTGAAAAATCGTGAGGTTTAATGTAAATGTAGACCGACATATCATTAAAGTGACCGTTCTAATCAGATCGTGTCACTGGAATCGTTAAGTCGCCAGATGTTCCTAGCGCATTATCCTCCAATCGCGAATACTATTGGTCGAAGTACACATCAATCATGATGTTGGGCACAATAGGAACACAAGCATTCAGGAAGCTATTCTCTTTCGTTCGCCAATAGGAGAGCGGGCCGGGGGTGGGGTTTGTAGACTGGCTGCCCCTCATTGGCTGGTAGGAAGGAAGGCGTGACTTCCACTCGTTCTATTTAAGAAAAGGACAAAGCCTTTCCAAGACCTTCTCTCTCTCGCCGCCATTTTGTGTTGACGCATCGCAAGCCTCGCCATTTTCTCCTACACGATGTCCCGTGATAGATTCAGGAACCGTGGAGGCGGCGGAGGAGCAGGAATGAGCATCTACCGTCGCGGTAGCAATGGAGGCCGTGGGATGGGGATGCATAATTTCCGCGGGCACGGAGGATACATGGAGCAAAACCGCGGGCCCCCTCCGCAACAAAGGCAACAGCACCAACAACAACAGCAGCAGCAGAAACCTCAGCAGCCGCCGCCACAGAAGGCCCCTCCTCAGCAGCAAGCCCCGGCCCCGGACACCCCGAAGCCGACCCAGCAGGCCGCAGCCAAGCCCCAGACTCCGGCACCGACCCCTGCCGCCTCCCCGCAGGCAAAACCGGCACCGTCTCCGCAACAGAAGCCAGCGAGCACCCCTCAGCAGCCACCGGCCAACAGCAAGCCTCCCACCCCCGCCGCACAGCAGCAGCAGAAACCCGCCGCACAACAGCCACCACCACAACAGAAACCCCCCGGACAGCAACAACCACCACCACAACAGAAACCCGCCGGCCAACCGCCGCAGCAAAAACCGGCCCAGCAGCAGCCCCCGCCGGCCGCTCAGCAACAGAAACCGCCCCAGCAACAGCCTAAAGTGACCTCCCCGCCCGGCAAACCGCTACAGAGCCAACCGCCACCACAGCAACAACAACAGCAGCGGCAGAGGTCGGGGCCCAACCAGGCCGGTCAGAAGAGGCCGTATTCCGGCCAGTCACGGTTCTCCCAGGAGCCCCCGGTACAACACGAGGAGCCCATAAAGACCGAGACCACCGAGGAGGTAAGTGACCGGTAACTGGAGGTAAAACCCCCAAACCCAGCCGCCCGCACCGTGCCTGACGGTGAGACATCGTTAGTTCATGTTAGTAACCCCGGGCCGGGCACTGGCTTCAACATCCCGCGCAATACAGTGAGACCGTGCGTCTACCGGAAGTGCCTAAAATGGCTGCCGGGGCTGTGGCTGTCTTTGTCTAGACTCCATTTTGGGACTGTATCCACTTCCCCCTCCCCCTCCATGCGCCTAACATGGACGTCTCGGTCGTATATTTGTATTGGCCTAGCTTGCAAGGTGTAACCTCGATCAATGAATACTTTAGTATATCGATCACATATTTGGCAGCTGTTAGGTTGCCCCTCTTCAGTTATGTTATTTAATCTGTTATTGGTAGAAAACAGAACACTTTCGAGGGTGTGGATTTATGTAACATTTGAAAAATTTGTTATTCTGGCATGGTAAAACTGCACACCGTGTCCCCCTTGGTACTTTAAATTCCAATTTGACTTAAATCAGTTTGTATTGGTCAGACTGTCTCACTGTATACTGTAAGACCAATTGTAATGATGTACATTATTTATGAACGTGCTATTTTTCTTGCACAGAGCATTCGGGCATCCCTGTCTCTCCTAAGGAGACCTGGAGAGAAGACTTACACCCAGCGCTGCCGACTGTTTGTTGGTAACCTACCTGCTGACATTACGGAGGAAGAATTCAAGAATTTGTTTGCCAAATATGGGGAACCAGGAGAAGTGTTTATTAACAAAAGCAAAGGTTTTGGATTTATCAAACTGGTGAGTCTTCTGACTTTGCTCTGGCAACATTCTACTTTTTATTTGATTTGGTTTCATTTAAATTTCTGCATGTGCATCTGGCTCTTGCATGCATTTATCGTCAGTAATGTGTCATTGTAACTTTGAATGGGTTTATGGGGTGCTCCAGGGTAAATATAAATATGCAAAAGCAAACTAAAGTCTCCTATATAGCTCTGCAGCATATCCCCAATTCTGTGTCTCCCATCATTTCTCTTGGAAAGTAAAATGCTTGCAGAAACGTGCCTCTCATACTGCAGATTCTTAATGGTTCTTGCTGTCTCTCATTGTCAAAGCATTATTGAACCTACAGCACATGCTGGACGCATACTACTTTCAGCCAGACAATCTTTTTCTAATCGTAATGCATTAGTTTTAAACCTCTATCAGAAGCATTGAGCCCTACATGCACTTAGTGTGCAAAAATTTCAGATTAGGATGGAGAATTGCTATCCTCCTCTCCAGACTATGTAAATAAAAATGTACTTGGTTAAATATTTTGAATATGTGACATTGAAGCATTTGGTTTATTTAAAACTGGTGGCTGTATATGTAATGTGAGCGAACATGCTAATCTCTTGAAATCTGTGTAAAACTGTATTTATTTCCCCTACAGGAATCAAGAGCACTTTCCGAAATTGCAAAAGCAGAACTTGATGATTATCCCATGAGGGGCAGGCAGTTACGTGTCAGATTTGCAACACACTCTGCTGCTCTCTCTGTACGCAACTTATCACAATTTGTGTCAAATGAACTCTTAGAAGAAGCCTTTAGTCAATTTGGTCCAGTTGAAAGGGCTATTGTTATTGTGGATGACCGAGGAAGATCAACAGGCAAAGGAATAGTTGAATTTGCTGCAAAGCCAGCTGCCAGAAAAGCATTTGAAAGATGTAATGAAGGTGTCTTCCTTCTGACAACGTAAGTTAATGTTCTCATTATTATACAAGTGGAATGCAAGTTGTGGTGTTCAGAATGAAGTCTGTAAATTGGACTGTGATAACTAACACTCTATAAATCAATACTTCATTTAAAAAACATAATAAGCGAATCTCTACACTTTATAGAACTCCAATGCCGGTTATTGTAGAACCTCTTGAACAGTTTGATGCTGAAGATGGGCTTTCAGAGAAGCTTGCTCAAAAGAATCACATGTATCAAAAGTAAGTTGCTGAACATAGTTGCTATTCTGCAATACATTGTACCATAGATATTATTTCAGCCTCTTATTTTACATGGTCTTGTGTTTTGCTCCAGAGAGAGGGAGATCCCACCTAGATTTGCTCAGCATGGCACCTTTGAGTTTGAATATTCAAAGCGTTGGAAGTCACTTGATGAGATGGAGAAGCAGCAAAGGCAACAAGTAGAGAAAAACATGAAAGAAGCAAGAGAGAAACTTGAAAGTGAGATGGAAGATGCTTACCATGAGCACCAAGCAAACTTGCTACGTCAAGGTTAGTTTTGAGATTCTTCAGGGTTTTTTTTTTTTTTTTAACATGATCTGCTATTGTAATGTAATGTTTCCTTCCTCAGATCTTTCAGCTTTTTCAGTTATGGTTCCGTTTTTTTGGTAAATGTTTTGTTTCTCATTTTTCTGACCTTTCAATTAATCTTTGGGCACTTGTCAAAAGAATATCCTTAGTACTTCACTTAGTTTGATTAGATTATGTTAAAATGGGTCATGATCTTCATATGACTTCTTGATCTGCCAAGAGGTTACTATGGAGCAGCTAGTGCCAGAATGGAGAGAATTGGGCAAGGTTATAGGAAATTCTGCTAAAGTTGACCAATTTGGACAAGAAAGAAAATGGTGGTAAAATTCATAGGAAGACTGCCTGTTAAACTTATTTAAGATGGCAATAACTACAGATAACTTGATTGCGAAAGGATACTAGTCAGCATCTCCTATTGGGATATGTTTTGGTACTATTGACAAATGGGCTGTGCAAAAATTATAAATTTATGATCAAAAATGAAATCTAGTAGACATGCTTGTAGTGTGCACATGAACAAAAATGTTGCATTCAAAGAGTAAGAATACATTCTATACCTGAACGTAGTCTGGATTCTGTACAACACCTAAAAGAAAGGTAGATTGTTTGCGGGCATGTATGTCGATGGTGGCATTTATGTATAGCTTATTTACCAATGTTTCTGTAGATCTAATGAGGCGTCAGGAAGAGCTGAGACGTATGGAAGAGATTCATAACCAAGAAATGCAAAAACGCAAAGAAATGCAGTTGAGGTACGTGGACTCTTGTAATTAAAAAAAAAAAAATCCCCTGTTTAGCATAAAATGTGTTGATTTTTATTTGTTTTTGGTTTGACCGTGGCTCTTATAAGGGCAATGACCTTTTTGTACTTCGTAGAGTTAATGCATGTTACTCTGTAAGCAGACAGGACGAGGAACGTCGCAGACGCGAAGAAGAATTGTTGCTCCGCCAGCGAGACATGGAAGAACAAATGATGCGCCAGAGAGATGATAGTTATCGTATGAGTTACATGGACCCCGTAAGAACCCTTTCTTATACTGTCTTTAATGCATTGACCTAGGAATTCTCTTGTAACCGTGACTGTCTGCTTTTTAGAGGGAACGAGAAATGCGCATGGGAGCGAATGCAATGTCCATGGCAGGTAATGTAAAACTCTCGTTCATATATATGACTTTTTTTTCACTTTTGAAACTGCTTCTGATGTTCTAAAACTTTAATTTTTTTAAAAATTTTTTTTAGATCCATATAGTTCTTCAAGCCAAAAGTATCCCCAGTTAGCTGCGGCAAGCATGGGCTATGAGGGCAGCCCTGGGGTGGCTCAAGCTGCTATTGGTGCATCCATGATTGCATCAGACATGGTAATGTATCCTGCTGTGGCTTGGTAGTCTAATAAAATCTAATTTTAGAGTCTTAATATACTCAAGGAATATATTTTTATGATTTAAGCCCTGTGTGAACATTGTGTTGCACACTATTTGGCACAATTCAGTACTGGCGAATTAACAGGAGCAAACTTGAGTATTGTAATCTAGTGTATCTTATTTTTTTATATATATTGGAGAGGGAGGTGGTCAGATGCATATTAAACTGCAACATGTAACTCAGTAAAAATCTGCAAATTGCGCTATCAGTAGTCATAATAGTTTACTTTTAATAGACGTTCTGTGCTAATTTCCATAATGGAATACTAATATGAACCTCCAAGTTTGTATGTCATAGGTGTTTCTTGTTTTTAATGAAAGTTCTTACTTTTGAGACTCCAGGAGTTTTTTTTTAACTTGTACTTTCTGGCAAACCTTTGTTCATGAGACTTCTGGTAAGCTCTACCAGAAGAGTCTGCAGACTGTATGTTTTAGTCCCTTTTAGTTACTACAGCAACTGCACCAGTTTAATCTAAGCACACTGGTAAAATGTTGCTACAAATGGCTGTGCAGACTTTTTTTATAATTTTTTTTTTTTTTTTTTTGTATTTAAATGTCAGATGGATTATGAGAAACTCCTCATACTGAATGTTTTAATATCCCAATGATGCTAGTACTAAAATCTGACCACAACTGACACAATCAGGAATGCAGTATTGTGCTCTGCCACTTGAGGACATCTCAAAGCCAATTTGCATTGGATATACATATATATGCAGTTCAAATTGCAACTCAATTGGAAATTCCATAAAGGCATTCTGTGCTGCCTAAATTTAAAAATGAATTCATATAATTTGTTTCTCTTCCACAGTTTCGGATATAGAAACAGGTTACAAAAGCTGCAGATCTCTTGTCTGCAACATTTGAAAGCCCTTTACTTCTAACTTTGCCCATTCTTCTAATTGGACGTCCCATTGCAGCTCATGTCTTTGCAAAGCAATGCCCTAGGCCTGCTTCTTGAGTTTAACTTCACTGAGCTAAACTACCAGCTAAAATATTTTAAGCCCCTCCACAAATTCTTAAAACATTTAAAGTGATATGCGCTATGGATTAAACTTTAACTGTTTCTAAGCACAAAATACCAACAATTCAACAAGTGTTGCGTAGCATGGGTCTATTGAAAGATATAGTGCCTCATTGTTCAAAACTTACAGATGGGTATAAGTTTATATAGGAAGGATGCATCTAATAGTACTAGCAGTTCCGTTTGGTAGAAAAGACACTACTAAAATCTTCTGTCCTGTAGTCGATATTCAGCAGATGCAACTGTATCAAAGTATCTTCAAAAGATACTAACGGGCTGCATAGTTGAACTTCTTCAAGGCACACTGTTAAAGTTACATTTAACAGTTGTGAATCCTATTTATGTAACTCTCCAATTGAGCATATAAGATCAAACTACCAGAACCTGTTAACGCTCCTCTGGGTATCTGGATGTTAACACGTCCAGCTGGAATTTGAGTGTGGAAGGCAACCAGTTATCTGCTGAATATCTAATAAAGGACATAAAAGATTTTAGTACCGCGTCTTTTACCAAAGAGAACTGAAGGTACTATTGCATGCTCTGACTATATACTTATTCCCTTCTGTATGGTTTGAACACTGGGGAACGTCTTGTTTTGGCTCTGTGAAGGGGTACTTGTAGAACCATGACAACGGTTTTAAGGGCTAAACGTCTTTTAAATCTGCACTTTCATAGAATGATCAAAAGCACACTCTTTACACATAAAGCACTTCAGGAAATGTAAGTGTTTTGTGGATCTGAAGTGTCCAGTTGGCAACATCAATGTTTTGTGGATTGATTGTTCGGTCCTCACTGCAGAAAATGTATTGTCAAAAACCTCTGCTGAAATGTTCCCACAAAAAGTCAGACCTCTTGCTCTTATTGTTAAGCCTGTGCATATGCCATAGAAAGCTCCTAAGTTTCTTGTGCCTTCATGAAGGCACAGACTGGTGTAGTATCTAAACTTTAGAGGATGCTGTATTGGGTTTTCATTGAAAACTGGGCATGATGTGCTTTGAGACCTCCTCAGGTTGGAATGTAGTTTATTAGGTGTTTAAGTGGTCAGACAAGGGCTAGCTTGTTAAATGTTAAAACATTCCTCTTGATGAATTTGGTAGTAATACTTCTGATTTTGTGTCATCGCACATTAAAACATGTTTAAAACAGGTACTTTGAAATTTCAGGGTACTGCTGCAAGAAATCGTGAACCTGTCTAATGGATAATAGCTGGAACGCAAAACTGTATTCTGACTGGCTGAAAGCACCAAGCACCCAACTAGTATTTAAATAGACTTTTTTAAGGGCCTAAAGTAGAAACTCCTTTTTGGAAATCTGAATTAAAGGACCACTATAGTGCCCTGAGGGTGCCCCTACCCTCAGTAACTCTCTCCCGCTGGGCTCTAGGGGGTGGAAGGGGTTAAACTTCTTTCTCCAGCACCGGGTGGGGAGCTCCTCTTCGGCTGAATGCGCATGCGCGGCAGGAGCTGCGCGCGCATTCAGTCAGTCCATAGGAAAGCATTGCTAATGCTTTCCTATGGACGCTGGCGTCTTTTCACTGTGAAAATCAGTGAGAAGCGCCTTTAGTGGCTGTCAATGAGAGCCACTAGAGACTGGATTAACCCTAATGTATGTTTATAGAAAAAATGGGTTAAACCTAGCTGGACCAGGCACCCATACCACCTCATTAAGCTGAAGTGGTCTGTTTGCCTATAGTGGTCCTTTAAGACTACATGACTTAACAATCAATAGCTTCACTCTTCCATTTCAGAAAATATGGCTACATAATTAAAGGAACACTTCATCTTGCTAAAGTGTCTTGCCTGGAATTTTTTTTGATCAGCATTTCTAAAATGTTGATTTCTCAGTAGAAATCTGCACTTATAATTGAGCGTAGAAATTCCACCCTGCATGTCCCTCTGCCCGGAAGGATGGATTTCCTCCTTCTCAAGAGCTAATGAAAGGGGCAAGCCTTTAGAGGCGCACAGCACCACCTGCCTTCCTTCCTCAGTGCATTGAAAAGCCTCTGGTTAATTCCCTGGCAATTTGTCAGGGAAAGGGGGACAGCCTGTGAAGTCAACAACCTTTTGAAAATGTGGAGGTTGTCTCCCCATCCCTCCATATACTGGCCCATAAATGTGTGGAGGGTTTTTTTTTTTTTCTTCCATTTTTTTCTTTTTTGCTAGATCTACTAAATAGTGAATTTTAATCAGAAGGCTCTCCAACATACTTTTGCTAATTCAGTTTCTTTAGTCTTGTAAAATATTATTTTATAGTCTGTCTAATAGACTTTTTCCCAAAAAGTAATTGCCACCCTCAACATATTTAGTTGAGCAAATAGTGTCACCGCACCACAGTTTTAAATGCTGCTGATTGGGGTGAGTTTGATGCCAAAAGTCAGCCAAAATATGGAGTTGCAAAAATGTAGTAGTTTAGCCGCCACTGGGCAAGTATGTTAAGAGCCAGTTCATGTGCGGTTACATTGTGATGTCATCTTGCCAGGAAAAATGTAATGTTTAATTATTTTTTCTCTCCTTCCCTCTGCATCTTGGCATTATGACAAGAGCAGGATTGGAGTCAATATGGTCTTTGCACACTTACTTGCTGTATTGGGGGGGGGGGAGGGGGAGGACTTAGCATGGCTTTCTTTTTTGTGATGAAGGCTATAACTGTACTGTTATATCTGAGTTTAGGGACATGTCTCTTTCTAGATTGGACACAATATGCAGGGCCATGTTTATGTATAGATCTTGTGCATTGATTAACTCACAGGGCCATGAACACCCTATTTATCCATCCTTGCTGGGTTTAGTGCTATAAAGGCTTAAATACGTTTAAGCAGAAATGTATCACTGAATACTTTCTCGCTTTTGTAAGATTTAAAGTAGTAATTCCGGTTTAATGTTTTTTTGTTTGTTTGTTTTTTTTTTTGAAACTATCTCAAATCTTGTAAATCATATATTTTTCTACCTGCACTTCTCTAAAACACAGCAGGAGGTCTGTTCATGGCAATAGACATCCTTTATTCAAGTGTGGGATCATATCAAGTGGCTTGTGTGATACTTAACTAATTTGAAAATTACCCTTTTTTCCTTTCTATGTTCCTGGTACCTGTGGATCGGCTCATTGGTGATTGTATCGACGAACCATGCTGCGGGACCCTTCTAAAAAAACACAAACATACTATACACACACGGACATCCTCTTCTGTAATGAACTGAATTTGTGTTCCTATAGCGCAATGAGCGCTTTGTCCAGGGAAATGCAGGGACACCTAATACCCAAGCTTCCAGAGGGATTGGATCAGTGCCCGCTGCTGCTGCTGCAGTTGCTGCTGCAGCTGGATATGGGAGGGCTAGGGAGGACTATGAAGGTCCAAACAAAAAGCCCAGATTTTAGACTGAAAATACCTTGAGTATAAACTGCAAATGTTCCCTTTATGTAACTTTTTTACTTTAGTTTTAGTAGGTTTTTTTTTTTAAATATGGATGCTCAGTTTTGTCTCTAAACTTGTCAATCTGGTTAGTGTAGTATTGCAGGTTTGTTAATGTCTCAAACCTAATAAAACCTGCTTCTTATTTTATGGCAGTGAAAGTTCAAACTTTTTTTTTTTTTTTTATATATATATATATTTTGGGACTGGGAGGGGAAACTAGATGCTGTAGTACATTGCTAGTTACTGAATAGTGTACTGGTAGGGGATGACAACTTAATCTGCAGATAACTGTGGTTGCTATTTGTTTGGCAAGATCCCATTATGATTTGCCTCACTGTACTGATGTCAGTCGCAAGCTCTCAGTTGGGCAGCTACACCCATATATATTTATAAACTTGTATGTGCAGACAAAGTAAAGCGTTAGATGTTTGCTGATATTGTGAAGATGGTGGCCTAACAAAGTTTGTTTTACTCCAGTGTAAAATTCCCGCAAAATGTGGTTCTAATTTTGGAACTATTGACCTAGTACTGAGTTGTCAGGGGGAAGATCCACGTTGAAATACATTGTGTGCAACCTGGCACTCATTGAGCCTTTTTAATTTTTTTTGTGCGTAGAATGGAAGCTCCATGAACTGTCTCTGTAATGGGTTGTATTGCTTATCTTATAAATAAAATAACAAAACTTAATGTGAATTTATTTTTGTTGGGATGGGTGTTTAGTTGTGTATGAAACTACTTGGCTGTTACAATTATGGAAGAGGTAAATGATTGCATAGGGGATTATTGCATAAACAAAGTGTTCTACTCCATTTGCTGCTAGCCAAAGGGGACCATTTAAAATGTATTACAAAATTACACCTGTTCTGCTGTCTACAGATTATGCTTAATTTCTTTAAAACCTAAAATCTTACTTGCTCAATTTGAAGTCAGTTTTGTCAGAACACTATTTTAAAGATTTAAAAATTGTCATGCTGTTTCACTGAAGTCTGACAGTCGTGTTAACACTTCCTGGTTTTGTGTGGTGGTTCCCTCTTTCCTGCTTATGATTGCATGTTGGTTATATCAATGACAAATTATGACCTTTCAATGCTTTCAATAACCATTTCTATACTACACAAATTATCTAGTACTCATTGTAAAGGATTCTTTCGAATGCAAAACTCTTTTAGTATCTCTTGTGCCTGTATCATCTCTGTAAAGATGTTGATCTTGCCGATGCCAAATAATGGATAGCTGTAGCTAGGGCAAAAGGTGTGCAGTGTTTAATTTTTTTTATTTTTTTTTTAAATTTGACAATTGCACCAATTTTTGTATATTGCTGCATAGAGATGCATTTCTAGTGGATTTTTAAAATTGCTAAAGTTCAGGCAATAAGTGTTTCCAATTATTAAAATTTAAATGTTTTAATTTTAAATAGGTTTCACTAACCTACTATAACTGCTCTACAAAACAATTATGGTTATTGGAGAAAAATTTTTTAGCACAAGTAGTGGGTGTTTCTTTGTGTGCCCCTTTGGATTTAATTTCTAACAAGGTGTAATGTTGGAAGAACACTTGATTTATGCAATACCACTGGAAATAACTGAAATTCTATACGTGACTTTTTTATGCTAAGTTTTGTAACCTTGCTACAATAGTCTCAGGCTTCTCCTCCTGCTAGCACTATTTAAGTGTTTAATTCCTCTACTATGTATCTTGATGGCTGAGTTCAGCTAAATCAAGCTGCATATAGGGAAGCTGAAAGGGGGTCTTGAATACTGTAAAGTTAACATTTTTCTTATAAAGGCTGTATTTAAAAAAACAAAAAACCCGAAGGCCAATGTAAAGCTGGCAGTACATTTTATTCCGTAAGTTAATGCATAGCTTTTAAGCTGCCTGAATTTCTTATGTTGCTAAGACAAACTGGTGTTAAATTGGGTATGTGCAACAAAATATAAAGGCTTTTATTATTTTTGCTAGTCCTTCAGTGCTGTGCAGATAGCTGAAGATACATTGTGGTATGTTGCAGAGTTGTTATAACTAATGATGGCAAAGTGCAAAGGATTTTGAATTTTTTATTTTTTTATTTTTTTTAACCACAATCTATGTAGCCTCTGTAATAATATAGGCTAATGCTGCATTACTACAAACAGGTTAAACTCTGAACTAAAAGTAGATTTGGGGTTAACAACTCTGTATAGTGAATTATCCTTTTCAACCGTTATTTTGTACATGGGACATTAAGTGTGCTTACTAAAGTCCCAATTCTCCATTTTCTTCAGTGCAGTACCTTTTTCAATGTGGCTGCTATGCAAATTTTCTTGGCAATTCTGTTAATGCACATGAGCTGTTTACTGAACTGTATTTTGGCTAACTAAAAGTAGAATTAAAGAATACAGGTTAAAATGGCAAAGTACTGATTGAGAGACCCCAAAATGTTTGTCTTGCTGAATGTCACCTGCAATTAACTTGGTGCCTTTAATTCCTTTCAAAGGAAATCTATAATGTAAACTGACAAGAAGTTGTAGACTTCAAGACAACATAGCTGTATTGGAGAAAATGGCTGACTTAATTTTGCAGTTGACTTGGCTTACCAATGTTCTCTGCTCTATAGTGGAGTCTGTGTGGTTTTAAAACTCACCAGCATGCATGATGTGACTTGCAAAACCTAAAACTATGCAGTCCAGTGTGCACACAAAGGGTCGTTGATGGGTGCCCTCATTGGTTTCTTTTTTTATATATATATTTTTTTCTGCCTTAATGTGTTGTCTAAAAGGCTGACTCGAATATCAATCCCTGCCAACACATCTTATACACCCTACATTAGCTTTTCTTGGGGGTTCTGTGTAAAGTTGCATCACCAGCCATTTTATAAACTGCTCTTAAGCCATCCATAGTTTCATATATAATTTTTTTTTTTTTTTGTTCTGCCCTTCGGGTTTGAACCTGTATCTGCATATTTAAAGTTCATTCATTTGTATGCAGTTTTAAATAAGTTAACACATTACTAAAAACTTGCCAGATGGCATCTTAAACATTGTATAATGACTAAATAGGAAAATTATTAAAATCCTGCATGTGAGTGCCCAAATTATGAAAAAGTTTGTTCTGAGCTAGTTACATTAAAAAAAGCCTTGTAACATGAAGTTGTTTCCTGAAGCAATGTAGTATGGCGTTATAATACATTCTGGTGCCTTTTGGCTACACAAACATTGGCACTGCCTGTAGTTTGCTGTATTACATTTTGACTGCTATACAGTTGCTTTGTTCCTGCATATATGAGCAGGTTCTGCAATTTAGGCTACATTTAAGACTAATTTTACTTATATTTTTTTTACAAATACGTAGCATTCATTGTTGCAGGCTATTAATGTAAATCCAGATGGAGGTGTGTAATTATTGGAAGTCTGTCTACATTGGCAGCAAGAGACCTGGGAAGCATTATATTGTATTTCTTAATGAAGCTTTAGCCACTTCAAGTGCACTTTAACAATCTTAGTGGCCGTCTGTAGCAAGTATTTTCTGCAGTGCATAACTTTGAGGAACATAGTGCTACTGGACTGTAGGATCCCGGATGTAGTAATCCCCGCTTGCTTGAAGATGCTCATTGCTGACTGCGTTCAGGTAGGTACCAAAATACTCTACATTAACATAATATGAAATGCTATTCTGACATGACCTTTCTGTTGAGTAGAATACAATGCAGCACTTAATAAATGTTTGTATTTTCTTTCATGTAAAACTATTTTAGAAGCGACGACCACTTACACAGCAGGCTGTTGACTGCTGTGTAACTTTGTACCGTAGTGCCTTTGCAATTTTTTTTTTATTTTTTTTTATCCTTGTTACTATTTGCTTTAATGGGTTATAGACTAGTGTATTGCACTGTACCTCAAATTGGACCCGTTCAAATATTACCTATAACATAAGGCAGGTGTGTGACTTTCAAAAATAGATTAGGTCACATCATGTCAGTGGTGTGCAAGGATTATTAGAATGTACTATGTAGTGCTGCATTCTGTGTTCACTTGCGTCTTCCGGAAGGAAAACTGTCTTGCCTTTCAAGTTATTTTATTAGGTCTATACAATTTAATTAGCAGCATGTTGATTGTAGTCTCCTGCAGTTGACAATTTTGCCTCTGACATCCTTGTTTTCAACAGCAGCTGGAAAGGCACTTGGTGATCTCCTGTCTACGTGTGTGTGGGGGAGGGGGGAGGGAATGGCGGCTTACAGCCTGCCTGTATGAATCAAAGAATTGTGGGATATACATTTGTATTTACGTACAGTCAATAGTAACTTCAGTTTGTTAAATGCAAGTTACATTGTCAAATGGTACAGCCAGCTACCTTGAATGCTCACCTCAGTCCTGGGTGTTGGGTAAGCATGCCATTATATATATATATATTTTGCATGCTGTGTGTGTATATAGTCTGCTAAAAGTGAAAGCCGACTTAACCGCAATACTGTAAACTTCTGACCATTCAAGTTGTTTGTCACTCAGTCTATTTTCATAGATAAATGAGTAATTTTCACTTGGTACCAAACTCACTTCTGACTCTGTGCTGCACTATTTTTCCTTGACCTGTAATGCAGAAGAACTTTCAAGCACAGATAATACAACATGCCTCTAGCTTATCTTGGACAAAATCTTTGTATTTATTAACTTAAATACGTCTTAGAAATGGCAATTTTTAGTAAATACTAGCTTGAAAAGATCTTAAACTTCAAGGAGATAGGTTTATATTTGAAATTCTGCCTCTTTCAATTTTCTGCTTTTTGTTATAATTGTACAAAGTTACATTCTAATTGTACCTTGGCAGTAATGTTCCTTAGGGAAACTTCGAATGCTGCTTGGCCTTTGCTTACAACAAACACCAATGCTTGCCTTGGTCATATCAGAAAATTGAGCTTATATTGCTTGATTTTCTTCTAGAACAGTGGATTTTTTTTTATTTTAATTTTTTTTTTATTATAAATCCTCCTGACCAATCTGTTTAGCGAATATTTATTTTGAATGCAGTTTTTTGGTTTGCCAAACTGGAATGCTTTTTGTTTTTTAGGTTGTGCTGAAGATGTTATGAGCCACACTGATGGCTGTACCAGGGGTTGGGTTGCAGTCTTTAACTAGTTGATATTTTGTAACTAAACTGGTATTTCCCAACTCATTAGTTTGGGAATACCTATCTATATGATGGTCTCAGTACATCTGCATAGGAATAAAGTTCAGGTACCCAATTGTTGGATGCCTTGCCGACTTGAAGAAAATCTCTTTCAATATTGTTGCTCAAATGTGAGTTTTAATGCTATTGCCAAAAATACTCTAGTTATTGAACATGTAAAGTAGTTGATTGCTTTAACCTGGAAACTGTCTCTAAAGTTGGTAGAGCTACCATAGTAGCTTGCCATTTTAGTTGTGATTAAAATAGAAATTGCAAATACGTTTGCACCAATTTCTTGATCTGTGAGAACTCGCATCCATGGTAATGCCTCATGACTTAAATTGATTGCCATGTGAAATACTTTGTATTATACTTGGCACACTGTAGCGTTTCACATGTTTCATGGTAACCTATATTAAGTTACGGTAAAGTGCTGCATTGTATTCTCTTTGGACTAATCTTGATTGTCAATTTAAAACTACAGAAGTGCTGTCAGAATATATTAATCTGCATTAACGTTTCAGTCCTTTAATAAAAAAAACTAATTTATGCACATTCCAATTTTATGGGTGTAGACTTATAGCATTTAATTTAAAAAAAAATAATTTTACATTACAGTGGCTGTATTTGCTGGTGTTTAAGACATCCACTATTTGGACTGTAGCTTTAAGCAGATTTGTGGGGGGAGTGTAATGGAAAGTTCTCTACTTCTGGGATTTCATAACAGGATGTGTAACATGTGGAGCAGTAGTTTTAGTAAACGGTTTCCATCCTTAGTATGCTCTCCCGTTTGACCATATGGGAGTCATGGCAGCTGTACTCCTTGAATTGTTACTTGTAACCTAAAGCTAGTTAAGATGTTTCCAGTTTATTTTTTATTTTTTTTAGTCCTACTTTTTAATAGAGCTGGATACAACAACTAAATGCCCTTTAAAGCAGTCTGTCTGCTGGGGTTGCAGTACTTACGGACTGTGAGACTACATTAAACCTAATGATCCTCAAACGTTAATATTTGACTATTTATTTCAAGGCTGGGCCTAAAGAGCTGCCACTTCTGACTTTGTTATAAACATGCTAAATGGCATTGATATGTAGTCACGGATCAATCCTGATGTAATGCATTATAGCAATAGTCCCATGGATGGGCTTTGACTTTCATTAGAGACTGTAGAAATCTCTTTAATATTGGGTCAGTATTTGTAATAAAGGAATTTGAGCTTTCTATACTTTAATGCTGAAAGGCTGATATTTTCTTATCTAGTGATTTTTGCAATGCTTCCGTTTTGACAAGTTACCTATCTTTTTTTTTGTTTTTTTTGTTCCAGCAGATTCCTTTTATTTTTGTGGATAATAACTTTCTCTTGTCATTCTTTAGGTAAGAAAGACAGGTATTGGTTGACATCTGCTTGACAAGTTTTGCATTAAGGTAAGTTCACCTGAAAGGTGCTCAAAATGAAAGTTCCTCAAGTGCCATCACTGGTTGCATGGTATTCAAGTACTGACATTTAGTACTTCAGGTTTTATGGATCAGAGTGCTGTTTAAAACTGAGCTTTTTAGTGTGTGTGTTCTGAACTACAAATATCCATTCTGTGTATATTTTGTTTGCACACACTAGCAACATGTGACGAGAGCAATCTCGCCACATTGCATTGGAGAAGCCTGGTTGCTCGCCTGTTGCCTTTGGATTATGGCCCCATGTTAAAAGGCTTGATTTTCCCCTGCAAAGGCAAAGCCGGGTCATTTGGTGCTTGCCCTGTTTGAGCAGTGATACCCCAGATAGCTATGCCATGGAGCCCATTCGTATAATGAAAGACTTTGGCTCCATGGCAATTGAACTGTATGTGTGTGCTCTGAGCGCCATTCAGTAGTAATGTGCGCTCAGACCTAAGCTATCTGGGCATATGTTGCATGTCTGTATTTTATGTCATAAATGTAACTTTGTGTATTTTATTGTATTTTATGGTCTTTTTGCTGCCATGTGTTCAATGGAGTTTTGCCTCTGTCTTTGGAGATAATTGGATTACCTATAATTATCTCCAGGATAGAAGACTCTGTGGAACTGGTTTTGGGCAGAAAAGCCATGCTTTCTGTGGTCACAAAGGACTACGATCTATCTTTTGAACCACTGGACCAATTTGTATGATTTTGACGTATGTTTGTATTTGGAGTATGCTGATTCTGAAAATGTAATTATGTGAATGTGATGCATACTTTTCAAGTTATGAATAATGTGGAAAAATAGTATTTTTCTGCTTGTGCTAAATTACATTACCCATTGTGTAAGGTAACTGAATCACATGCAGAGGGGAGGAATTTGTGTGGGAGTGTCTGAGAGTATTGTATGTGTTTATTGGTTGTGTTCCAAAACCCTGTGGGTGGTACTAATATGTAAGAATGTGTACATAAGCACAATAAACCCACAGCTCTGTCTGTTCACTGCTTGACCCTCAACACGGAGCTTTGTCTCGTTCTTGGGGGGATTTACTGTATGCTGTTCCAGCTCGACTGCTAGAGTAAACCTATTCGTATGGGTTTTTCCTATTCGGCTGTTTACAGCATTCATATGGTTTCCTGTTCGGCATCTCTGGAAAGGGGGACGATCGCCTAAACAGTTTTTACCCCTTGTGTGCAAAACGGTCCATTACACAACATACTTAATACTCTTCCCCTTTGCAGGCAGAGCACCTGCAAAGAAAGATGGCTTCCCTGTCCCACCCTATGGGCACTTTCCTTTACAGGCATACACTTTTTTTTTTTTTAAACTCCTGCTTCCTCTCTCACCCACATATTCTGTGCTGACCATTGGTTGAGTCACATGCATCTCCCTGAAAGTCCTGTTAGTGGACTGTACATGGCCCTATAACATTGGAGTGGCGATGATCAGCGCCAGGAGCTTTGCTTGGCACTGGTTTTCAGGTGGGCAAGTAGGATGCCACTCTATACCAGACTTTTGATATATTTTTCTGCTGCTATATTCCTCATCGGACAGATTAATTTCAAAATTAATTCACGGCATAGTTGACTTTTTGTGTCAAGTCTCATTTTTTTCGACTATTGTACGTTGTGGTCAGGCATTTTTGTTTCTGTCCTTAATACTGTTGGCATTACCAATTTATTCACTACTCTTTATTGTAATCTATTTTTTTTTTTTTTTTCTTATACTTACCTATCATATCTATTTTATAGCTGCCCTTTTCTATAGTTACTTCTGTGGTGTTACATCTATTTTGAGCAGTTTTCTGTTCATATTCTTGTAATTCCCCTGTTTCTGTTTCTATCACCTATATTCACACCACCATTTTTCATAGTCTCTTATACATTCCTTCTGATTTCTCTCTTGGTCTATACTTTTATCCTTACTGCTGCCTTATCTATATTTCTATATAGATCTATGTTTTTTCCATATTCATATATTTTTATCTATTAATTAGTTTTTATTCTGTATCCTTTATTCTTATTAGATCTCCTGGTACGTGTAGGGCTTACCACCTACAGTTTTTTGGTATTTTCGTTTATGCCTTTATGTGGGGCTATTTATACTAGTTGAGATCTTTTTCTTCATCCTCAATCCTTACCATTTTCTCCATTTATTAGGGCTAGTTCTCCCTACCCAAGCCTAGCAAGATGCCACTCTGTTTCCTTAATGTGTAACTGAGATTTTCCTTAAGAAAATTGGGTTTGCTATTTTGCCCAACGCTTTTCATCTGAAACTTTACTGCTGTACGCTAAAGGCAGAAAGTGAGTTGGTAAACATTTTTTCACTTTACAAAGCAGCCACTATATAGGGTCTTATTAATCTCTAAGCAAAGGTTAAAACTGCTGTAAATTAACTGAATATTAATGGTGCACAATTGTGTAGAACCTGCAAGCTTTTATTTGTGTATAGATAAAAAAAAAAAAAATGGACTAACATTTTTTTTGTTGTTGTTGCAGGCTTAAATTGAAATGTCATCCAGCCTAAGCTCTTGGAATAGTCATCTGTGGAAAGAATACTTAAAGGTGTGTTGTTGGAAAGCTGAACAGTAACGGAATATATTTCAGAATTTGAATTATTGGTTTCTAAAAGTGTGAGCTTGTTCTAATTCTTCAGAATTAAAGTGACCTCAAACCGTTGCATTTTAACCTAGTCTAAAAAAAGTCTAGCACAATATTTGGTCTAAAATTCTTCGTGTAGAAGGATGAAAAATGCAGAAAACAAATATTGTGCATTACACACTCAACTGCATAACACTGTACTCAAGTAATTCTGGCAAAGAAATTAGTACTTGAGATCTATCTTTGTACAACAATAAACTTAGGCTAAAGCAGGTATTTAGATGCTATATCTAGATTGCTATATAGAATAACTAAGTTGATCAGTCACAACAGCTGTGGCCAAAATGTACTTCCACTGCATCTGGAGATGTACCTTTTGACCATGTTTAATCCAATTGTATTCAGTGTAATGACCGCTGTGTTTAGGCCTAAAACTGCCCAGGAGTGAACAAATACTTGTCTGTCAAGTCACATAAAAATGTGCCTCCCTCTTCTCCTTTGACCCTGAACATTATTTGCTTTCCTCTATTTTAGACTGGTGCCTTTACTTTAGTCAGAAGTGGTAAATGGCAGTATTGTTTGCATTCTGTAGAACTCCGTGGTAACTTTTATTTTTCCTTTTGCAGGAGAATGAACATCCAGTACTTTATTTTTAATAAATTATTAAAAAAAAAAAAAGAATAAAATCTGCTTTGTCTGTTATTACAAATATTTACTAACACATTCAGGGTATTTAAAGTATCTTGATTTATTCCCATAAACACACAAGGGTCATTACTATGGCACAGTGCACACAACTTATCAGGGAGTACTCCTACTAGGGTGCCTAGAGTAGGTTTGGTAACGCCTTGTTTCAGATTCCCTGAGCTTTTGGAAAGGTTAACCTGCTAAACTACTGGGTGTTCCAAAACTTTTTTTTTTTCCTCTGGCATATGGTGGCAGTACTTGTGGGTTGTGCCTCCTTAATTGGGACAAGCCTCTATAAGATCATTTAAAAGTCCCTCCCCTTTATACCATAAAGGGCTTCCCCTGTCAAACCCCCCCTCAGTTCATCCTTGTACCAGCACAGGACGGATCCAGCATCTACTGTGGGTTTTTTTTTTTTGTGGATTTATTTGGTGCACCAAATAAATCCACAATAAAAAAATAAAGTAGATAGAGCTAGGGTTAGTTTTAATTGCGTAGTAAGATGGAAAGCTCCAAAGTTACAGGAGAAGTAAGAAAATAATGGAAAACAGATTGCAAAACCTTTTACACAATCACAACTCGAGACATATGGAGAACATTCCCCCTTCATACTTGGCTTATACATGCTACTCTAGAACATTCAACTCATACTCAAGAATCGACCTTGTATTGGGCAACGTGTCAATGCTGTATCTTAAGAGTAGAGCTACAGGATATAGCTTGGTCAGACCATAGTCCAATTATGCTGTAATATAAAGATAACTGCGACATATTCCGAAAAGAGTGGCGCTTAAAAGACTTCTTACATTTTAAAAAACAAAGCAATGTTGAAGAAATTAAGAATATACCCAATCCTTTTTTTCATAGAAAACAAAGGTACATCTGCTATGATGGTCTGGTGTGCCTATAAAAGCGTAGTAAGAGGCCATTTGATAAAAATGGCTGCCACTGGAAATATAAAACAAAAAAAAACTTTCTAAATTGTATACAACACTAAGCGAATATAAGAGGCAAAACAAAACCACTCCCTCCACACAAATGGCAAGGAAGATTGAAGATAAAGAAAAACTGATAAATATCTAGCTAATAAAGCAACCAAGCAATTAGAAGTACTACAATCAAAGTGGTACTCAAAAGTTAACAAGCCTATTCAATGTCGCCAGAAAAAATAGGCAGTGTTTATAAGATTTTATCAAAACTTATATAACCTACCAAAAGAAACATTTGGCAAGGAGAGATTGAGGAATTCTTCAAAAATGTATCCATGCCAAAAATACCACCTGCCCAATTAAATCAGATAGACGAGTCCATAACAGAAATGGAGGTCAGCAAGTCCATAGATAAACTTAAAATAACAAGTGCCCCAGGTCCAGATGGCTTCAAAAAAAATTTCTACAAAATAATAAAAGACCAATTAAAAGGGCAACTCACTAATATTTTTAAGTAGGTAATGAAAATAGGAAGCTGTCCTGGAGAGCTGGTGAGAGTGAACATTGTTCCTAAACCAAAAGCGGATATAAATACAGAATTGATTGGCAATTATAGACTTGTATCATTAATCAACACAGATCTTAAAATACTATCCTCTGTTCTTGCTGATTGAATAAACAGTCATACCACAACTAATTAATAATGACCAAGTAGGATTCATACCAGTGAGGTCTCCAATAAACACGCTTAGAAAAATAATAAACATATTTGAAGAAACCGAGAACAATGGAACCCCACTAATGCTACTGTCAATAGATGCAGAGAAAGCATTTGACAGAGTTGGATGGGACTTAATGTTTGCCACCTTAAAACAATTTGGAATTCGCTGGACCAATATTACAAGCGATGTTTGCTCTCTACAGCTCTCCATCAGCTAAAGTAACAGGCTCAGGATTTACATCACAAAACTTTAGTATCAAAAATGGGACTAGACAAGGGTATCCTCTGTCCCCTCTCTTGTATATAATGGTGTTGGAACCTCTTGTGATTCTAATAAGACAAAAATAATTAAATGATTTATGAACTCCTTAAGACAAAGCAAATTAAATATTTACGCAGATGACCTCTTAACTTTGGAAGAACCTAAAACCTCCGTCCCAGAGCCTCTAAAGGAGATAAACAAATACTCTATTGTGTTAGGATACAAAATAAATATAGAGAAATCAATATTTATAGCCAAAAAGCTAAACACAAGACTAATCAAATTTCGTGTACAAAACATTGGGCTTTCAGAAAACAAGGACAAGCTAAAATACCTAGGTATAACACTAACTTCAGAATTAAAAGATTTGGTAGAAGCAAATTTTTTTACCTTTAATAATCCAAACTAACAAAAATCTTAAGGATTGCAAAGGTATGGGATTCTCCTGGTCGGGAAGGATCAATATACTAAAAGCATATATTTTACAAAAATGGCTGTACCTATGGAGAACGATCCCACTTAACTTCCCAGAAAACTGGTTATCCTTGCTGCACATCATTTTTTAAATTTGTATGGGGTGGTAAGAAAGCTAGAGTTAAAATTAAAGTTTTGGCTAGATCAAGGCAGAATGGAGGTCTGGGATGCCTGAAAATTTTACAATGTTACCAAGCTAGTAGACTTTTCCACAAACACAAAACATCGCAGCAACCCAAGAAACATGGTATAAAATGGAAAAGGCAAAACCAAAGTAGGAAATTTAACATCACTATTCTGGGTCCTAGACGGGAACAAGAAATCCACCCAAGAGGCATGAACGAAGTCTCAAATCCTCAAAGAATTAACAAGCTGGTGGGATAAATTCTCAAAAATATAGGCATAAGAAACAGACGTCTAGAGTATAAGTCGATTTTTGTTTTTGTTTTTTTCTTCTCAGCACCTTTTTTTTTTTTGTACTGAAAACCCCCTACTCGAGTCAATGTCTGTATTATGGCAACTTACATTGCCATAATACAGACCAGGACCGCCGGGCTCACTACAAGCCCGGCGGTCCTGTTGGGGGCTGGCAGCGAGCTGTTACTTACCTTTCCTGCAACTCCTGTCCGCTCCCTTCTCTCTCCTCCGGTCCGGTCAGCTCCACTGTAAATCTCGTGAGAGCCGTGGGGTCAGACCGCGACACTTACAGGGGAGCTGATAGGAGCTACAGGAAAGGTAAGTTACAGCTCTCTGCCAGCCCTCCTCCTACACAGCCCATCCACTGGACCACCAGGGTCAAAAAAAATATAAATAAAAATTTAAATAATATTAAAATAAAAAAATAATAAAAATGCCCACCCCTCACCAAGGCTGTGCATCACATACACACACTGCATTATATACACAAATGCAACAGACAACATTTTAATTATTGCATTACTGCCTTCTGGATTGTAATATCCACTATATATGAAGTTTTATAAAACAGTGATACTTTCCATATTGCCAGTTACACTTGCTGCTAATTAAAAATCAGGAATTATAACCGCATACTATTTGGAGTCTGGGATTTCCAGCCAAGGTCGCGGAGCAGCGGATACAATTGGGCCGGTGCAAGGATTTTTGACAGCACAGGCAAAAATTGATTTCCACACACACACTGGTTCCCTGGGTACTGATAGGCATGCAACACCTCCCCTGCTGCTGAAATCTGCTACAAGAAAGCTCTGGTTAGTGGCAGTGACATACGCCTGGACACTCATCAGCTCGCTCGCCCCGCTCATTGACTAAGAGCGCATGGCTGAAGCTCTTAACCAATGAGGGAGGTCTTACATGGCTGGGCTTAGCTCAATGACAGGAGTTTCTGGTGGCAGGCTCATGAAAATTAAGTCCCTCCCTAAGCAATAATTAATAATCATATAGGCCTGAAGTTTACTAGATGCCTCCCAAAAATGGGAAGTCCTCATTTATTTGCAATTATACCCTACCAAACTAGAATTCCATATTTCTCTATAATATACCCTTTTCTCCTTAAAGCGGCACTGTCATGCCGAATCCTGCTTTTTTTTTTTTTAACCCCCTTCCTGCCTCCACTACATCCCATTGACCCACTAGTCACCCCCAAATACCCCTAAGCCCCCCAGATTACCTCTTTTTAAATCTTTATTTTCTGCCCCGATCTATATTCAGGGCGCCGCCATCTTTGTGTGGGTAGGTGAAGTCCCTCAGGCACCTACTGTCCTCCTCCCCCCCCTGGCCCCCACTCCTGCGCAGTGGGTGGGGGCCCTAATAACAATGGTGGGGACCCACTGTCCTCCCCTGGCCCCCATGCGCTGGGTGGGGGCCCTAATAAAACAATAAGGGGGGACCTACTGTCCTCCCCCCCCGGCCCCCACCCCTGAGCGGTGGGTGGGGGCCCTAAATGAAACACCCCCCCCAATCAAGGTGACTAGGGGTCCCAAGCCCCTAGTCACCCCCCCACCCAAAAAAAACCTATCCCCTACCTAGCCCCCTCACCCATAACTCATAACACTCTGATTGGTGGATTAAGTAACCAATCAGTGTTATGAGTCATTTTACTCAGCGTGGGAAAATTCAAAAGAACTTTCCCACGCTGTGTAAAATGACACAGAGCACTCTGATTGGCTTAAACCTACCAATCAGAGTGTTCTAAGCCTAATTGCAGGGCGGGGCAAGGCTTTATAAGCCTTGACCCGCCCTGCGGAGCTCAGAACGCGGCGTGCCCTCGAAGGGCGAACATGGATTAATTATTTTTTTGCGCTCGATTTTTTTTTTTTTTTTTTTAAAAGTGCAACGGGTATGATGGATTTTTATTTGGCCTTTTTGGGGGCTGAAGAAAGAAGATTTTAGAAAAAAGAAGACGTCAAATGTTAAGTTTAATTTTTTTTTTTACAGGTTAGTTATTTTATTCCCCCCTCACTATTTTTAGGTTGAGGGGGGTAGGTAGGGGATAGTTTTTTTTGGGTGGGAGGGGGTGACTAGGGGCTTGGGACCCCTAGTCACCTTGATTGGGGGGGTTGTTTCATTTAGGGCCCCCACCCACCGCTCAGGGGGGGAGGACAGTAGGTCCCCCCCTTATTGTTTTATTAGGGCCCCCACCCACCGCACAGGGGGGGGGACAGTAGGCCCCCCCCTTATTGTTTTATTAGGGCCCCCACCCACCTCTCAGGGGCGGAGGCCAGTAGGTCCCCCCCCTTATTGTTTTATTAGGGCCCCCACCCACCGGGCAGGGGGGGGGGACAGTAGGTCCACCCCCTATCTTTATTTAGGGCCCCCACCCACCACTCAGGGGTGGGGGCCGGGGGGGAGGACAGTAGGTCCCCCCCCATCTTTATTTAGGGCCCCCACAGGCGGGGGGGGTTATTAGTTTTTTGGTTTTTTTTTACAGTGAGCAGCTATAAGCTGCTCACAGCTTACTACACATGCCCCTACTCGCGATATAGCGAGTAGGGGCATATTATTTACTAATACTAAGTAATCTTTACTTAGTATTAGTAAATTTGGCTGAAAGACCAATTTAGGTCTTTCAACCGTTTAGTAGATAACTCCCTGATACCGTGGGAATTAGGGAGTTATCTACTAAGCGGCTGCAAGATGCAGCCGCGGCAATGAATAGGATCAGAGTTTCATTCATTCGAATGAAATTCCGATCCGAATAAAGTGCCGAATTGCGTTCTAAAAGAAACGAACATACTGTTCTCATTCAGTTAGAACGCAATTCGGCAGTTTTAGCTAAAATGACAGGAAGCATCGCGAGATCACAGAGGAAAGCTAGGGATCATGGGAAAATTGCTCTGACCAGCGGAAATGAAGCACACTTTGCTCCTCCGCTGGTCAGAGCTGGTCAAGCGGAGGAATCCTCCATAAGTCAAAGAGTCCCTACTTTGTCTTATGATTTTAAAGAAAACTAAAGAAGACAGGAAGAAAAGAATAACAGATACCGAGAGAGGGGGAGAAGAGGAAGAGATTGAGGAAAGGTAAGTTCGGCATGACAGTGCCGCTTTAATTCACATCATGACATAGCTTCCCATAGCAATTAGGTAAATTAACACCTTCCAATTTCCCTGTGTGCACCCTTTTAAAAGCGCTTTCCGTTACTTCTGCTCTACACACTTACAGAGTAACAGTCACACAACACTCACTCACTCACAGATAGGGGCACACATTTATACACTGCCTTCAGTCACACAGGAACATAAATTCACAGACATATACATAACAACTACATACAAACACAAATAAAATCCCAATCAGAAATATTCTCATACAAATACATTCACAGTGATACTTATACTTACAGATATATACCTATAGACACACTCATAGATGCACACACAGACACAAACTTACAATTATGCATGCAGAACATGCACACTCACTTTCACAGACCCAGATACTTACTTAAATTCACAGGATCAGATACCCACTTACTTTCACACACCCAGATACTCACATTCACACACCCAGATACCCACTCACATTCACACACCCAGATTCCCACTCACTTTCAAACACCCAGTCAGTATATTTATACTGGCAGACATTTTGTGTTAAGTCAGAAATTAAAAGTCTATACTGTAAATCACCATCAGAACAGAAGTGACTCCATTTTGTAGAAATACAAAGTCAAGCACATTTTGTTTTCTATCCACTCATTCACACTGAGCAAAGGAATGCGGCTAATGTAAACATTGGCAGTGATAAGACATGATGTCTGCAGCAAGGGGGGTTGACGCAACAACCCAGAGATAAATATATATATATATATATATATATATATATATATATATATATATATATATATATATATATATATACACATATACACACTATCCACATATAACTAACTTTAATTATATTAATCATATATAAATAGTACTAAGTTAATAATATAGAATATTCATGGATATAATATCAATGAAAATTAATTTTTTCATATTATTTACTAACGTTCGTGGATTATGTGTAATAGACATGCATAAATCACATGTGTAACATTACTATGTGCTACACACAGTTTCACACAATTTAATGGCACTAAAGTAGATGTGCTGTCTGGTAAAAATCAAAGAAAAGCCTTTGAAGATTGACAGCTTTTTAATGAGTAGGTATCATAAAGATAACCAAGATGACGTCAAACGCATCACAAAATTCAGTTAACCCATTATGCAAAAAGGTGAATGGACCCCCTGACAAGAATTTTCTGTGATGTAATTGTGCCATCTGCTGACCAAAATCTAGATGACAGTCTGTAGGGAAGACACACCCACGTTACTCTTTTGGTCACTATCAACTAGTGACGTATAGAGAACTTCTTCTTTAAAATTTAAGGACTCACACCTAACATCTGAGGGCTAAGATCTGACATCTGGAGCCAAAGCTGGACAAACATAATTATTTGTATCTTTTCCAACGAACACTTAACTTTGAAATTCTTTAAAATTCAGAACTCTGAAAACTTTTCTATTTTCACACAATTCTCTATACTCATACCTGCATTCACCATTTTTGGGATACATCTCCAAGCCTAAAAAAAAGAAATTCTACCAAGAGCTGGTAATTATACTGGTTTTATTAAATTCATTTAAATTAATTGATTTTACTAAAAGGCAGAATATACTTGGATAAAAGCTGGTTATTCCAACATTAAGGAGTCATGATTCGTAATTCCATTTCTGCAGGTGGACCAAGGAACTCTAAATCACTTTTAACTTTAAAAATAGAATACCAGGAGGGGCGGGACCTGGCACCCAAGATGGCCTGACATTTAATGCACAGAAGTGGTGAATTTAAAAGAAAAAGCAGCTAGATGAATTCCTATGCACTGAAGAAAACTCGGACTGAGTTGAAATGCGTCTGCATTATTGTGACTCTGTGTATTACTATATGAGATCAACACAGCTGTTTTTATATTTTTTATCTACAATAAATTTGTTAATCTTTTATAACCATCGCTGCTTCTTCTGATTCTGGGGGGACATCACCTGAGATTCTCCATTTAGCCTATTGAGGCACCTTTGGGCACTATATACAGAGCCTGGTACGGCTCTGTAATCCGTGAGTGGATTCAATTATTTTTATTTTTCCATCTATATATACAGTCTATACTATGTACTGTTTTTCTGTTGTTATAGGAATTTACCACATGGAATATCTTCGATATACACCTGTATATGTATAAGTATTATATTTATTTATTGTTATCCGGTACACAGAGAGTGGTGTGTGGATTTGGCATCTGATTATTCAGTGCCCTCATTTTATACTCTGTTTTTGAGGTGTTGGGGAACACTTTTGCAATTTCACCACTGTTCTGTGCCTACTTTATTGTGTAAGCGCCATTCACTCTTCTTTTTCTATTTAATGCACTAGCTCCGGCTAAAAAACGCTGAAAACATGCAAATAACCCATTTAGTCCTGCAGCACACGGCCCTACACTGACCGGTGATCACCCTCACCATAACCTGCAACGTATTACGTCTTATCTGGGGGTCCTGATGGAAGAGCACTGGGCCCGATCTTGCGGCCTACCGAGGCTGGCGGTCCCGTAGTTGGGTGAGGCGGCCGGTCTCCCAGCTCTGGGCTCAAGTCCTCGAAGCCCCGTTACCCCCCTGGACCTGTGGGGGATATCCCAATCCCCACTGGACACTCTTGTACCTCGATAGGGGTGAAACACTACCCAGCTGAACCGGAGTCCACCTCGTGCATTCGTGATGGCTGCTGCTCTGGAGTCTCAGCACACCTACACTAGCACAGAGGGCTCGACTTGGCGGGAAATATTTGAAGCCAAATTTGATAGAATTTGCCAAGCTTTCTTGACTGGAGTGCAAAACCACCCGGCCTTTCCTGTGATTCCTCCATCTTACTCCGGACAGGAGGCCCAACAACTGTCCTGCCCAGACCATCATCCAAACACCCAGAGAGGCTCCTAGGCCAAGTTACACACAAGATGGGACACAAGGAACTCCTGCACTCAGCACTCAATCGAAACAGCCCAGTGATGAAGAGAGGAGAACAGGGTCAGCTTCACACACAGACCCACAGCAAGCCGTTCACTACACCCCGACGGAGAATCCTTATATGGAGGCCTTACAAGCTGAGCCCATGCCGTACAGAGTACCTTGCTCAGCATGGCATGCCAGGTGTAGCAGGTGGACTCCAGAGACTTGTCCCTGTGGTTGGCTATTATCCACAGGATAGTGTGGCGGAGAGGGATGATATCCTGCCCAGTGTGGAGCTGGGGTATACATTGCTGCCTGCCTGTGGCGTTGGGTAATCCACGAGGCAATGAAAGTGCAGACTCTGCTTAACATAAACCATCTGCCTCTCTATCCTAAGCAGGGATTCCTGTCCTTTCCTTTACTCACTCCTCATACTGTACTCCGTAACCAGTAACTTGACTAACTTATCAGTTTACATCTGCGGATTTAACTGTTACTCATACTTACCTAATTTCTGACATATCTTGCAAGAACATGTTTACTAATCATAAAAACTGGTGTAGGGTTCTGGTATACCTAATGTATGCACAGAGGAGAGGGAGTCTAACTAACACTAAGTCGCTGAAAAGCTGATCCGAGGGTTTTTTACATAGTTACATAGCTGAAAAGAGATTTGTGTCCATCATGTTCAGCCTTCCTCACATATTTTGTTGCTGTTGATCCAAAAGAAGGCAAAAAACCTAGTCTGAAGCGCTTCCAATTTTGCCACAAGCTAGGATAAATTCCTTCTTGACCCCAAAATAGCAGTCACATGTCTCCTTGGATCAAGCAGCTATTACCCTACTAATTAGAAATTATATCCCTGTATGTTTTTGTAAGTATTTATCCAATTGTAGTTTAAACCTCTGTAGTGACTCTGACAAAACCACCTCTTCAGGCAGAGAATTCCATATCCTTATTGCTCTTATTTAAAAAAAACCTTTTCTTTGCCTTAGATGAATTCTCCTTTCTTCCAGCCTAAATGTGTGACCTCGTGTCCTATGTATACCATCATTTGATACTCATTAGACTGGTAATACCATCATGAACTGTTCCTGATCTTTATTTTATGTATTTTTATATATATAATTTTTTTGTTTAATAAACTGGTTTTTATATTTGATCCAGTTTCTGCAATTAACTTCAGTCTATAGCGATACATTTATTGCTTTAAGCAAACAGTTCCATATACTGTGTTGCTATTTTATCTTTGCTGATACAAAGTATATTATTCAGTGAAAGTATCATTTACCCTGCACCTTTCAGGGATAGAGACACTAACACTGTACATTCTTTCATTGCACACCGATTCAATAGTTCTCTTATTCTTATATTATTATTTTTTCCATCTTTTATGTGCATATTTTACCATTTTGCTACTTTCACTCCGATTTCTACCAGTTTTATTTTCTATTTTTGATTTGTATGTTGTACTTTTATGACTTCAGCTTTTATTCTTCATTTCTTAAAGGCACAGTACTTAATTTTAACATCCACTTATATCTTCCTTTCATTTTTTATATATTTGTAATATTTAAGTCTCTGCAGATCCTACGTGATTTTTTTTTCTGCACCATCAAGCCATTATCACAAGTCAGCTCCTGGTTTTCACGCACTACCTTTTAGAGTGTTGTTTTCTTATAAAACCTTGTGTGACCGTACTCCATGTCATGATATGTAAGCTTCATGTTGCCTGAGATTGCTATTGTGGCATTTTATAAACAATAATAAAAAAATAAAAAAATAGAATACCAGGCAATTATCCAGATATATTACCTTAAGTAATTTAGAAATAGTAAATCTTAATTAAGAAAGTTAAAATTCTACAAACGTAAAATATGGTTAGAATTATTATTATCGCACTTCAGTGAAGATACCGAACTCCCCAACCTCTCTGCTTCTGGGGCAGCCTCTGGATCATGGGCTTAGGGTGTGGCACTAGTATTAAAAGTCTCACAACGTCCTTACAATGAGCTTTCTGGATGCATAACTCCCCCTCACCCCCCCATCTCTGAATGCTGCTTCCCCCCCAGATACATACTTCCAACTTCACATACCTAAGTAAGTGCTCCCAAACTAAAATGACGCACCCACAGCACACACTAGATAAGGAGGTACCGACTCATATCATCGCTCATAAAAGTGAAGAAATTTGTTCCTTTCGTGTATATAAGACTATTGTATGACACCATGTTAACAGGCGATGTATGTTCCATTCATGTGCAGTTACACTGTTTTACCCTCCCCCCTTTTCTTTTCTGTACCCCTTACTTACGTTTTATGGCAAAAAAAAAAAAAGTCAAATTGAAAAAAAAAAAATTAATTATTATTATTGGATGAGAAAGAAATGGTCAAACGATCTGATATGAGAAATATTGTATTTGTAAAATTGCAATATAAAAGGATATCTTTCCTATGAGAATTGTAGCCAGCAGTGAATGAGTTAATTCAGTGTGATTTGACTGTCAGACAAAATTTTTACTGCTTTACTCTGTGCTGCTGTGAGATGCTGTGTTCTGTGTTAAGGAATGTTAAGCAAGCTAATTTCAAAATTAAGTGTCCTGTCATAAATTTTGTTGAAAACTGCATACAATGTTGCTAGATATAATGTTGCTAGATTGAACTATCTATAAATTGTGTTAAAGGACCACTCTAGGCTTAATGAAGTGGTCTGGGTGCCAGGTCCTTCTAGGGTTAACCCATTTTTTCATAAACATAGCAGTTTCAGAGAAACTGCTATGTTTATCAATGGATTAAGCAAGCGTCCATAGGAAAGCATTGAGAATGCTTTCCTATGTGACCGGCTGAATGCGCGCGCAACTCTTGGCGCGCGTGCGCATTCAGCCGACGGGGCGGATTGGAGGAGGAGAGGAGGCAGAGAGCTTTCCGCCCAGCGCTGGAAAAAGGTAAGTTTAACCCCTTTTCCCCTTTCCAGATCCGGGTGGGAGGGGGACCCTGAGTGTGGGGGCACCCTCAGGGCACTATAGTGCCAGGAAAACGAGTATGTTTTCCTGGCACTATAGTGGTCCTTTAAATCACTGCCATATTGTATACTTATGCTATACCTAAATATTCACTGATTATTGTCATGCATGTTATATATTATTATTATTATTATTATTATTATTAATTATTGTCACAATAAATTATATTTTTATAATTAGTTTTTGATTAATGTTTGAAATAAAAATCCTCTCATAAAACATACTCCAGGATCTCTGAGAATAAAAAATAGTGGGTAATTCTCAGCTTTAAATCATTAATCGGAGAAACAGTGCTAATATATAATTTTTTTATATAATAAAAATTATTAAATTAATTTTTGATAATTTTAATGAAAATATAATTTTTCATATTTATCACCCCATAAATATCCTCACAACCCAGATTCCCACTCTCTTTCACACACCCAGATTCCCACTCCCTTTCACACACCCTGATACCCACTCACTTACACACACCCAGATACTCACTCACTTTCAAAGACCCAAATACCCACTCACTTTCACACACCCAGATACCCACTCATTTTCACTCATGGAGACACAAAATAGGTGGTCCT